GGCTGTGGAGATGAAGAGCTGTGAAATTGAGTATTATCAAAACATAAGTAAAAATAAACCCATTTTTATTAGAGATCTTTGAGTATTTCCCTGAGACAGCAGGAGGCTGACCACTTTTTGAATCTGTTGAAGTCGGCTGCCTAAGATAAACACTGACCTCTTAACAAGAAGATCTGCGTGTTAAACATTCTAGCAACAGAAACCTGAAAACGTAATTTACCACTTCTTTCCAAGTATTTTGGCATTGTTCACTCACTGGCAAAAGTCACAAGAAAATGTTATCACTTAGGTGTTTGATTCTCAAAATATTTTAAACCTGAGAGACAAAAAACTGGATGTTAAATCAGTGAGTAGTAGTATCAGTCTCTTCAATTCAGCCCTGGTCCCAAAATGGAAAATAAGATTGAACAGCATTTAGCTTATTCACTGGAAATTTTTTTTTACTATTTTTTCCTTAATGGGTGTGTCATTTAAAACATTGAGATCAAAGTATATCAAAGAATGGAATGCAAAATGTGCATGAATTCTGGAGCTGAGATGGGAATGAGGAGGATTCTGATTTTGGGCTTATGTAAGTGGGTGGATGGTGAAACCCAGGGTTGAGGGGTAGGGAGCTGATAGAGCACTCTAACTGGAGTCATTCGCTTCCATCTCACCTGCCAAAAAAGAAAAGCCTGGTGCTGTGCTGTGAGGAGCATTACCCTGGCACTGGTCCCATCTTAATGTGAATAGGCCGACTCAGGGCACGACTCTGCTGCCCTTGCCCCCAAGCAAGTCATTTCCCTTCCACAGTTGCTCATGAAGTGCTCAGGATGGCCCTAGCTGGTTAAGCCTCAACTATTTTGCTAGTTGAGGAAGTGGAAAAAAGAGCTAATGGGGCAATAAGAATGATTGGGGAAGAAACGTTAATTAATTTCACTTTTAAAAAATAACTTATTTTGCTGCACTGGGTCTTAGCTGTTGCATGTGGGATTTATGACCTGATCAGGGATTGAATCCGGGCCCCCTGCCTTGGGAACATGGAATCTTAGCCACTGGACCTCCAGGGAAGTCCCTTAATTTCATTTTTGACATGGGTGAGGACCTATAAGATATCCAAGTAGAAATTTCTAGCAGCTACCTAGAAAATGCTAGTAGAAGAATCTGGGTATAGAGATGAAGATTTGGAGTCATTCTCTTATAGTCAACGAAGGCAGGAGGGTAGATGAGGTCACAAAGTGAGTGTGTCTCGCAATGGAGCTTGGCTGTACACTGGGAGGACTTAAAATCAAACCACAACAAATTGATGCCTGACCTCGCCTCCAGAGATTCTGGGGTGCAGCCGTGAAATTTCTGAAAGTTCTCCAGGTGATTCTACCAAGTAACCAAGTCAAGAACTTTGACTTTAGGATGATAACCCAGGATTGATCCCTAGCCCAGAGAACACAACATGTTAGAATAAAGGAAGGAGCCTGTAAGGGAGAGCTGTGGCCCCTAAGAGAAAAAAAAAAAGCTGTGTTTCAGAAGCCAAGGAAAGATCTGAGGAGGAGAGGTGGAAGAAGTCATTGCAGGGAAGACACTAAATGTGTCCATTTACTGCTGTGCTGTCTAGACAACAGCCCCCACCCCAAGCTGTCTTAATTTAAAATCCATGCAAGTTATGCATCCTATTCTTTAATATATTTTAATATAAGTAATAGTTAAAGTGACTTACCATACAGAAAAAATAAAAATTCCAAATCTTACAAGCTAGCTCAAGAGATTATCTCCATATTCCAGGTTCTTATAACTTAAATTGCAAACAAACTGCAGCTGCTTCCAGCCTTATCTGTCCATACTGACTATTGGCTGTACACACTACACATTTCTGCAATTATCAACAACTTTAAATTAAAGAATAAGGCACCTGTCTTGACTGAGGCAGCCGTCTCGCTCTTGCCACGTGCTGGTGTTGGAGGACCCTCCTTGCTTCAGATTTACCAACAGCATGAATCAAGAAAAGTTAGCCAAACTTCAGGCTCAGGTCCGGATAGGGGGCAAGGGTAGAGCTCGCAGAAAGAAGGTGGTACACAGAACAGCTACAGCTGATGACAAAAAACTTCAGAGTTCTCTAAAAAAGCTGGCTGTGAATAATACAGCTGGTATTGAAGAGGTCTTGCCTGAACTTGAGAAGCCCCCTTCTTCCCCTTCCTTTCTGGTGCTGTGTGCCAGTGGTGGTGACCACCTCTGGGGAAGAAAAGCCCACTTCCAGTGACATGGAGAACACGCGGCATCTCTGCTTGATTGTGACAAGGGCAGTTTTTGGATGGACCATGAAATGCTTCTAAAGTAGCCAAGAATTAACTCTCCTTTTTGTTTAATAAGCATGTTACCACCAAGGTGACTTACCCAGTGAAGTCAACTGCATAGTGTAATCACATTATTTACACATTTAACTTATATGCAAATATAATACATAGGACTCTACTAAAACACAGCAAGAGTGAGAGAAAAACAGCATTTTACACAGTGCACACACATCCAACCGTCCTTTTCAGTGAGTCTCAGGCAATGAATGAGATTAAATCTGAAGTGGTTCATATTGAAGAAAGCTATTGAAAGAATATGGAGATGATTTTAAGGGTTTCCTAGTAACTGATAGATGTTCAGATGGCTAAAAAAAATAAGGCACAAATCCCCTGGTTAGATGAACAGTTTTCTCTAATGCTTACCTATGAAGAAGCACACATGGTTATCTACACCCCCAAGAGTATTCTTGTTTTATCCAGCCTCAGGGAATGCATTCTTAAGTTAGGCAGTCTAACACGATAGACTGACCAGACAGGCAGTCTGGCATTGTGTCTTGATCACATCACCACCCAGCTGGGCCTACTTCTTTAGCCGGAAGTACCTCTGGGATGCCAGGGGCAGGAGGCAGTAAGGAAGTGGAGGGGAGGGGTCAAGCCCCCTGAGCAGTCTGCTGCTCCGGAGCAGTCCACTTTTATTTAATACAATGGACTCTACTGTACTGGAGTTTGATTTCACATGAAAATAGGATTAAGAAAAGTTCGAAAACCACTGGGTTAGACAGACTCTAAGGTCTGGAAAGACGTTCAAATTGTATATATTTAAATCACAGTATCTCTGAGTATGTTTTTGGCAATTTAAAGTCTCTGAGAAGGTTTAAAAAAAAAAACAAAAACCCACAACTAATTTCCTCAAAAATTGAAATGGAAATATAAATAGGTAATGTCTCAAAACTTTGCAAATGAAGGCTGCAGGCTGTACTGAAGAGAAAATAAAGGAATTGAAATAAAACGGCTGACACATCTTTTTCAAATGTCACATTTAATGTTTTCACCACTGTACTTCAAATCTACATTGTACAAAGTGACCAGTAAGTGTGCCACGGTAATTGACCAACCTCTGAGATTGTACCTTTCACACCAGTGTCTTCTTGGGCTCTTTTGATACTAAACACGTTTCTCATTCAAGTGAATTGAAATGCTTCAGTTGGGTTGATTCTCAGGAGCCTCGTAAAAAGAAAACAAAGATATTGCACCATCTTTGTTTAGTAATTCAATGTTTGTTTCTTTCACAGCAAATAATTACTTCATTGAAGTTAAAACTTCCAAACATAACTTATTAATAGTCTTCAAATTCAGCTCAGATCACTCAAGATGAAAATACTCTGCTAAATACAGATAACTTACAATAACTTTAACAGTTAATTGTCCATAACACACACCAAGGTTTTTTCCTAGACCAATTTTAAGACGATCCATTAGTATTCCTTGTACAGGTGAAAAACGATCTTCAATTTTCTTGTCTTTTTATTTTTAATATAAAAGTTGGAAGGGACATTCAAGTTTCAAGTCTCCACATTGAACTTAAAAAAAAAAAAATAGTCATCATCAGCATGTGGAGGTAAACAAGCCAAGTTGTATAACTCCAGGAGGTAGAGGCCTTCAATTTGTATTCATATATACATATGCACAGAAGAATTCAGTGTTCCAACAGAAAAAAAAATTTGTCAAAAAGTAATAAGTTATTTACTACTGTGACATTTCAAGACTCCCACAGCTTTGCCTAAGGACACAAACACATTTGACATAATTCCCTATGTGCCTTTTTTTGTGGCTTAAAATTTTTTTAAAATTTGTTTTTATCTTTATTTATTTTTTTTACTGTCCAGTGCAGGAAAAGTCTCACAAAATTTCACAGACCTAAAATGTGCAAGCTAGTTCTCTCTCTATACAGCAATGTTGGGATTCTTTTGAAATTAGCCCAGAAATGAATTATTTACACACATGAAAGATGCATGCTTGGGGATTCTTTTATGTAAGAAAGAGCAGAAAAACTTCTAATAAAAATAGATTAAATATATATATATATATTTATACTGGGTAAGGAAAACAAAGTTTAGTCTCTCCTAGTCACAAACTCATTCTCTCTACCCACAACATTGGATTTTAGACAGCACACATCACCGTCACGGCTCTAATGAGAAGCTAATTATAGGGCTTGATCATTAGGTGGCATGCCCCCCTCCCCCACCCCCCAGGTGCAGCCACGATCAGCTCACGTGGCTCCATGATTGGTCGCAGGCAAGGTTTCTAGATTCTTTTGTTTTAGAAAACCCCAAATTTTCAGGAATGGCTCAAATATCAAAAGGTATGACTGTCCTTTGTGTGTGTGTGTGAACAATCTCACTTCATATTTTTAAAAAGGAAAAACAAAACAAACACAACCCCCAAGCCCCCAAATTTGGTTCAGTTCTCTCGGTCGGAGGCGAGCCACAGCAGCCGCTAAACGCGGAACGTGCAGCTCTGGGTGAAATCGCTCCTAAAAGCACAACCACTGCACGAGGTTAAAGTCTAGTAACACTTCTAAATATTATTCCTATCATACAAGTAGTGGTTGTTAATTTAAAACTTCATTAGTAAAATTACAGTACAAGCATGATTAACCTCCAGAATTGCAAATCCCAGACTCCAGTGGAGCGCTACACAACATCTTCAGTAGTACATTATCTTCCACCGTCACTCCCACACCAGAGGAGACGGGGGCATCTCAGACGGCTGAGCGACAGTGGAACTGGAAGAGAACGGAGACATGGTGAGTGGGCTGTAAGCGCCACAGAAGGCCATTCACGGCTGCCTGTTCTCCACTTCCTCTAAAAAAAAATAGGGTCAAGTCCACTCCTGGAGTTTTACTTCTTTTCACTTCTCTAATGGTGCATCTGTCCACCTCCAGAGGATATGGGGGTGAATAAATGAGTCTGTGTAAAGTGTCTTCCATGGTGCCTACTTCATAATATGAATGGAAGCTATTATAAGTAATAATGCCTATAATCAATTGGGAAAATAACATTAAAGGATACAGAATTATCCACTTAAAAGTAGCTTCTCAGAATAAGGTTATTTTAAGTGGGGACCTATTTTGAATGAGCCTCATAAGCATTCTTTTATCAAGTTTTAATTGATAATCATTTAGCACTTGTTATCCACAGATCTGTTTTGTCGTTATTTCACAGGCCTGTCTAATGTTGCCAACTAAGATTATAGACTTGAGGAGGCTGGTGTCACTCTGCTTCCTTGGGGCCCAGGATAATGAGTAACTTGCACCTGAAAGGCATTAAAACACCTGATTGACTGGGTCACTGACTCTTAGGGAAAAATTTAAAACAGTAATTTAAAACCATAGAGAAGTAAAAATGCAACTTCATTCCTTCTTTCTACAGAAGCATACATGGAAGGAATGAAAGCTGACTTAAAAAAAATCCCCTTCAACACTATATCCAGGCCACTTAAAAGGAGGAAGTGTGAGGGGAAGGGAAAGAGAAGCGAGGAGGGGCGGAAGAAGGAGTGGGAGAAGGGCAAGAAGAGCGTGGCCTCTCAGATCAAAGCCCCTACACACTGCTCTGTGACATCCCGGCCAGACCCGTGCACCCTTTCCCTTTGCCCCCCGGCCTGATGTGAGCCTCTGTCAACAGAGGGCGCTAGAGGGGCGCTGCAAGGCCGCAGCATTAGGAAGCGGCTTTCCTCCAGCTTCCGGTGTGCCTTTTCTTTTTTTGGAGGGGCTTTGGTCTACCCAACTTTCTCTGCTCCCAGCAGGCTCTCTGATGCACCAGCTCAGCCCACCCCTTTTGAGAGTTTCTTCACCACCCTCAATGCTGTGTTCCTGTGGCAGCTAGCTGCTCTCCAAAGAGGTCCAAATCTTATTATTAGCCTGGGGTGGAGGGGTTTCCTCTGAGTTCTGTTTCTTTCTGTTCACTCTCCCTTGGTCCAGAGGGAGTGCTTGCTTTTCTGCATTTGCTACTTCGGACTCCTCAGCATCCTCTTCCATGCCTTTGAATGATTAGCCATCTTTTCCTAGTTAATACTTGTTATTAAATTTTCCCTGTCATATGACTAGGTGGGTTTCTTTCTCCCGGTGAACCATGACTGATACAAGGAGTCAGGGAAAAGAAATGAAGGAGGAAAGGACAAACACAGAATGAGGCTTGCTAGGTTCTAGAGGAGGTTTATAGCTCTTGAGCCAATCAAGACTGTTGGCTTCTCTTCTAAATAGGATATATCAGCAGTCCACCTATAACATATGCTTTTCTTGCTTGCAGTTATCATTAAGGTGTTGGGGATGGCAGTGGGAACCGAGGTGACCACGTCCAACTCCAGCACAGTGGCTGCTGCAGAAGGAAGATCCCCACACACTTGATCAGGCAGCATAATGGTCATCTGGGGAAAAACTGCCAAGGCAACCACAGTGAGCTGAAGCGAGAGTGGAAACACATGTTCACATTTTACATGTGCTTTTGACTAAAGCCAAAACTCATCATAGGAACTTTCTGTTGGACCTTTTCTTCATGTTATCTAATCTAAATAAAACAAGAAATATGCTGAATAACAAACTCACAGTGGCATCTTTTTAATTCTAATAAGGAAGTTAGAGTTACATATAGTTACCTAATAAAGCTCTTAAAAGCAGCAGACTGAGGGTTGATGCAGAGAGGCACTCTGTTTCCTTTCTGCTGTTCCAAAATGAACTGGTGAATGATTTCTGTGGAGAAAACAAACATCATACAACCCATGCCAATGTGCAGGCCTGGGAGCAGTGGATTCCTGGGTTAACTCTAGTCAGCATCTGAATGGCGCTTCCTAGTGGTTTAGTTAAATCAAACACACACGTCATCTCTCAGGCAGAATTCAGTGGAACTTTCCTGAAACCAAGATGACAGGTGCTGCTAAATGCAGGCCAACCCCCTCAAAGTGGCATTACAGGGGCTGGAAATCCCACCCATGGGAGGTGTAAAATAGTGTATAAATTTGAGAGTGCCTCTACTGGGTTGGCATTATAAATGAACTCTTCTAAACTGCTGGTAATTATTGCCTTTTTGAAAATCACTTAAAAAACTTGAGTTGGTATTTAGGTACATAGTTTCAGGCTGGTCATTTTGGGGACAATTCTTTTCTAAAATGTCCTAGAGCAGACACTCAGAATTTTGGATGTCATTAACCTCCACCCCAACAGGAGATCATGTCAGGAAATTTTATGACTAGACTATCAGAAATCCCCTTCTTGTCATCATCTAAGGAATGATTCCCTTAGTGGCTGTTTATTCTTTTTAAAGCTTTGCATGTTATATAAAAAGTCCAATATGTCTCATTCCATGCAATCACACTGAGTGAATACATATTAAATATATTGAGTCACAGTAAGTCAGCTTTAAAAACAAGAACAAAATGTTCATTCCTCTGCCAGACCTTCCCTTGGATATAAAATCAATGTTTTTATAACACACATAGCTTTCTTGGCTTATATACTCTGGACAAACGGCTATATGCAAGTTTTTAAAAATAAACATACAAAGGAGCTTTGATCATCATCCAGACCTCAGTTTTCCACAGTCACATAACAGAAAATGTTATTATAGTCATCCCACCTGGCGGAAGGCCAAAAAACACACTCACCTTTAACCTGTCGAACAGAACTGAGGTTCTTCTCAAAAGTGTCATCGAATTTGGGGTTGGTGACGGGCTCAAAGTCACTGGTATAAACTCTTCCAGTAGAGGTGGAAAAGCAACATTTACACATACATGTGTGATAGCGTAGTCGCCCTTCATCTAGGTAGGGGTGGGCTAAGGCATCCTTAGCGGATATTCTTTTGGACTGAAATCAAATTGAGAGACCAGCACATCAACACTACAGATAAACAGAACTGTCCATACAGGGTCTTTCATGAGCCACAGTGGCTGCTTTACACAACTTACACTTAACTTACGGTACATCCTACATAGAGGGGTGACTGCAGATGGTTGAGGGTAAGAGGATAATTGAATTTAGAGGCAGGTGATAAAGCAGTAGAGGGAGTTTTTGACGTAAGATAAGAAGCTACTGTTATAAACCACCACACGCAGCCAGAAAGCACTTAGAAATGACTTTCTGCTAAAATCCTGAAAAGTTTCCTACCTTGAAATAGATGTGTGCAGGGTCAAAAATGATAAATATCATGACATTTAAATATGCAATGCTTTGGAAGGGGTACATTTACATTTTAAGTAACAGTTGTATTTTCTAAATATGTTTCAGCACTTAGAAGAGATGTGATCATGGTGGCAATTTTACAAAGCTGCTTGAAACTTTTATCCTCCTGGGTACCAAATCAACTTGAGCAAAAGCCTGACTGAAAGCTGCTGGGGTTAGGCAGCAGCTAATAGCCTGCATGCCATGTTTTGATATCCATCCCAGTGAGTATCAGCAGCCTGGGGTTTTCTGGCACTTCAGATCAGAATACTGAGTGTACTAGATTCCAGTTACATATATCATAAACTTTCAAACTCGCTTCTCCATGAGAAAAGAATAAAGCTGTCCCTTCTTGTAGCTCAGTGAACATGTCAGTACTACTGAGAGAAAGTGGATTTTAAAGGATTTAAGGATGACTCAGTAGTAGAGAGTAGAACACAAACTGACCCTTCGCCCTGCTTCCAGTCTGCCAGCACTTCACACGACACAACTAAGAAAGAGAAAACCATTTGCATTCAAACCCGAAATAACTGGATCCTCCAACTGATTCTGGTCCCTCAAATAATAGAACGTTAAATATTCCCCTAAACCTGGATTCCCTAGAAAAACACGTTATCTCTGAGTTTTTGCTATGCTATATTAAAAAGGCACGTCATGACCTTTAGGGATACGGTAACAAGAGAAATCAGCTGCTGATCTACCAAGAAGAGTTGAATGTAAATCTTACAACCCGGTTTTGTTCCTTTTGCTGCGTGTTGTGTTTTGTTATTTGGTGACATAGCCTTTCTGAAGTCTGACACTAACATGCTTAGCAACTAAACCTTTTCTTTTTTCCTAAATGAGTCCAACTATTCCCAGAGGCTCCGCTGGGATCAAGGTCTACTGTCAGAACCAAAAAATACAGGACAGGACACCTTGCCTGGGTCTGGACCTCTCTGAGTCCATAGCATCTCCAGCCAGTCTCAGGTGCAGGGTCGAGAGCTCTTTGGCTTTTGCCCATTATCTGGTTACCGGCCAAGTCTATTTCTGTTTCTGACTGAGCATGGCTGATCGTGTCCAAGCTGGCGGCAGCAGTGATTAAATCTGGGTTTTATCATACAACCTTGCAGTCATTTCTGTCAGGGGCAGATGTCAGAAACTGGGTCCCTGTCAGCTGTGAACCAGCAGATGGAATCTGGTTTCACTGTTAGTCTTTTGTCTGGGGATTCTGATATTTCCTAAGATTTCAGATGCATACCTGCAGAGATTTTGGTGTTTTCCTAACTATGGATGGCATGCTCTGTGTCTGTCTGTCCTGTGCACTAGTACCAGGTCCTCTGACGTGTCTCACCTTACAAAAGAAAAGCCTTTGAGCAAAAAGCAAATCAAATCCCTAGCATGCAATGATCAATTTTCATTTCTCTAAACAAATTAAAGTCTCTTTGGGATTTCTGAAACAAGTTAAGTTAAAGAAAGGAGACTATCACTTTGTAAGGGTATGAACACTGAAAAACTATCCTGTAAAAATGAAGTGAAAAAAAATCACAGAATTTCTCAGATTTAATAGTGATGTTCGTTTGAAGTATCTGATGTTGCATAATTATGTCCTCTATGTCTTAATTACATCTTGTTTCTTGATCAATGTTTGTAATAGGTATGGATACTTGTTTTTATGTGATTCTGTTGCTTTATCAAAATTGGATCTTCTAAGTTTTGAATAAGAGTGATAAAATTTTCCATTTTACAAATATAAATGGATGTACTTTGTATACTTCTGAGAGGAGTTAATACATCATATTATGAGATCTCTTAAAATCAAATGGAGCAAACTCCTATTGCAACTGGCTTTTAGAAACAATAACAACATGTTAAAGGCTATAAAAAGAAATGGAAAGATATCAAAACATTATTCTTCCTTATGAATGAAGTATTTTGGCTCTTTAGAAATTTTTTCTTGCTCAAGTTGTAACTCAAAAATTAAAAAAGCATTAATTGTGAGTTAAAATAATACTATTACTTAATTACTAGACCACGAAGTAAGCAAAATATTTCTCATAAACAACTTAAAAGTTTTCATAATTGTATACAAGATGACTCTTTGGACAAATCAGTATGAGTTAATAGTTAATAAAAATTTAAATACACCCACCTGCTTTCTTTCTGATTTTACTGTCATGTACAAATAATGCTAATACAATATTCTGGTTTCTATAAGTTTTAGGATTTCCCCTCATAAAAAGCCTAATCATTTTGAATTTTTTTCCTACTGGAAAAATTATGTGTTCAACTAAATTAGATAAATGATAATAGGTAATGTGTTTCTAAAATGAAATTTGTTTTTTGTATGCTAAAAATTCTAAAGACTTAATGAGTCAACTTAAAATTTAAACTCCTAATTCTTAGTTAACATTAAGACCTTACTAATATTGAGTTAATATGTGGTCTTTGGATATATGGGCAACATAATTTTAATATACCTAGGCTCTTAATTAATATATTATTTAGCAGCCATCAACAAACAGTTAAAAAAAAGATGGCAAATACCTTTGGGTTAAAGTACATGTGTATTTAAAAAGCATAAAAGAATGTGTGATAAAAGAAAGATGTGTGTGTTAGAAAACAGATATGCTTTTGTTCATCAAGAGAAAAAAGTGAATAACTGTCTAAATTCCTAATAATAATTGTTGTACTTTTAAAATATTGCTTACAACTGTTTATTGTCTTTAGATAAATTAAGGTTTCTGGAGATTTGTTCAATGTCTTCACTATTTTGAGGTAATAATTAATTACATCTTTTAAAGTTATTTATTGTACTCCATCCTTTTCAGTACTGTCGGTATTATTATAATAAAAGAACCAGTGCCCTTTCATCTTATCATCCCCTGGTTGTTTCTGCTTTTTCCTTGTATTTGCCTAAAGGCTTCTGCTACAAGATAAAGATCAGGAATAGAGTCTTCCATATGAACCATCACAAGGATCTCCGTAAAGAAATATTATCAGGCACTCCTGACTATCGTCTTTGGGGTACAAACTCATGGGTACAGCTGATTATCATCACCACAGTCAGCCACGAGGAGCAGACATGAGGTAATAGACTGCTTAACCCAAGACCAACAAAGTAAGAATCAACTACTTCAGACTAAATGGATTAAATAAACTTATTTAATTATGGTTAATGTTCTATTTTAATGGCTTTAAAAAAAAATCTCGTTTCTTTCTTTCTAATGTATCACTAACTCTCAAATTTAACAGGACAAAATCAGAATGAAACATTCTTTAAGCTAGATATGGAACTCTCATAACTACAAAGAAAAGAATCCTTAATAAATCAATCATAAACTAAGTTCAGTAAGACCCTGTCCTCCTTACTAGATAAATCAAACCTCCTTTTTGTAGATAAATCTAATTTGTAACTATGACCACACCACAAGTTTCATTTAATTAAGTGTGACAATCCCACCGTTGAAGAATAAGGACTACATTTCACATGCAGAACTGATATCTGAAAGGCCTCTGGGGAGATGAGCATGGCATCCACTCTGTGGCTTAGGAAATTGGGCCCTAGAGCTGTAAAGACTATGAGCTCCCAGCAGGTCACAGTCATTAATAAACGTGGGATCTCAGAGAAAGGACATCTTACAGCTACAGGAACTGCAGGTAAAACCTGGGACAGGTGAATTACATGGTTCCTCATCCTAATCTAAGTAGAACTAATAAAGAGAGTAACATATGCTTGACACATAAAAGTAAATTTAACCTCAGGGCCTTTAGAAAATCCTCTATGGGCAGACAGAAATTACCTCTGAAACCTGAAATTCATGTGCCTCTAGTTTTGTTAACCATACAAACGGTCTTTATGTATTAATCAAAGTCTCCTGTGAAAGCTATACAGATAAACTTGCCAAATAAAATATCAAACTAATGACACTAAATCACCAGCTCACTCAGCATGTGGCTGAAACTGTCCTTAATGGCAGGAACTTGACCACAAGGAGGGGCTGTGCCAAAGAACCGCCACTTTGTCTTGCTTCCTGATCACTAAGAACCTCACATACCAAAGCAAACAAACAAAAGGAAAACACCAAACAAAAAATCCACTTTGTACCACAAGATGTGACAGAAATAACTTGATCACTCTGGTTGGTTCTTGTTCAGCCACTCAGTTGTGCCTGACTCTTTGCGACCACATGGACTGCAGCACGCCAGGCTTCCCTGTCCTTCACCATCTCCCAGAGTTTGCTCAAATTCATGCCCACTGAATTGGTGATGCTATCCAACCATCTCATCCTCTGTTGTCCCCATCTCCTCCTGCCTTCAATCTTTCCCAGCATCAGGGTCTTTTCCAATGAGCCAGTTCTTCACATCAGGTGGCCAAAGTATTGGAGTTTCAGCATCAGTCCTTCAATAATTATTCAGGATTGATTTCCTTTAGGATTGACTGGTTAGATCTCCTTGTAGTCCAAGGGACCCTCAAGAGTCTTCTCCAACACCACGGATCAAAGGTATCAGTTCTTTGGTGCTCAGCCTTCTTTATGGACCAACTCTCACATCCATACATGACTACTGGAAAAACCATAGCTTTGACTAGACAGACCTTTGTTGGCAAAATGATGTCTCTGCTTTTTAGTACACTGTCCACGTTTGTCGTAGCTTTCCTTCCAAGGAGCAAGCATCTTTTAATTTCATGGCTCCTGTCACCATCTGCAGTGATTTTGGAGCCCAAGAAAATAAAAGTCCTTTACTGTTTCCATTGTTTCCCCATGTATTTGCCATGAAGTGATGGGACCAGATGCCATGATCTTTGTTTTTTGAATGCTGAGTTTTAAGGCAGCTTTTTCACTCTCCTCCTTTTACCTTCATCAAGAGGCTCTTTTAGTTCCTCTTCACTTCCTGCTGTAAGGGTCATGTTATTCTGCATATCTGAGGCTGTTGATATTTCTCCCAGCAATCTTGATTCCAGCTAGTGCTTCATCCAGTCCAGCATTTTGCATGATGTACTCTGCATATAAGTTAAATAAGCAGGGTGACAATATATACAACCTTTATGTATTCCTTTCCCAATCTGGAATCAGTCTGCTGTTCCATGTCCAGTTCTAACTGCTGCTTCTTGACCTGCATACAGGTTTCTCAGGAGGCAGTAAGGTGGTCTGGTATTCCTATTGCTTGAAGAATTCTCCAGTTTGTTGTGATCCACATAGTCAAAGGCTTTAGTGTAGTCAGTGAAGCAAAGTAGATGTTCTTTTGAATTCTTATGCTTTTCTATGATCCAACAGATGCTGGCAACTTGATCTCTGGTTCCTCTGCCTTTTCTAAATCCAGCTTGAACATCTGGAAGTTCTCGGTTCACATACTGTTGAAGCCTGGCTTGGAGGATTTTGAGCATGACCGTGCTAGCATTCTGGTCCCCCAAATAAAAGAACCCTGTTTCCTACAGATCTGGACTTTCTAACAAATCATTTTTTTTTCTTTTTCATTTATTTTTATTAGTTGGAGGCTAATTACTTTACATCATTGCAGTGGTTTTTGTCATACATTGAAATGAATTAGCCATGGATTTACATGTATTCCCCATCCCGGTCCCCCCTCCCACCTCCCTCTCCACCTGATCCCTCTGGGTCTTCCCAGTGCACCAGGCCCGAGCACTTGTCTCATGCACCCAACCTGGGCTGGTGATCTGTTTCACCCTAGATGATATACGTGTTTCGATGCTGTTCTCTTGAAACATCCCACCCTCGCCTTCTCCCAGAGTCCACAAGTCTGTTCTATACATCGGAGTCTCTTTTTCTGTTTTGCATATAGGGTTATCGTTACCATCTTTCTAAATTCCATATATATGTGTTAGTATACTGTAATGGTCTTTATCTTTCTGGCTTACTTCACTCTGTATAATGGGCTCCAGTTTCATCCATCTCATTAGAACTGATTCAAATGAATTCTTTTTAATGGCTGAGTAATATTCCATGGTGTATATGTACCACAGCTTCCTCATCCATTCGTCTGCTGATGGGCATCTAGGTTGCTTCCATGTCCTGGCTATTATAAACAGTGCTGCAATGAACATTGGGGTGCACGTGTCTCTTTCAGATCTGGTTTCCTCAGTGTGTATGCCCAGAAGTGGGATTGCTGGGTCATATGGCAGTTCTATTTCCAGCTTTTTAAGAAATCTCCACACTGTTTTCCATAATGGCTGTACTAATTTGCATTCCCACCAACAATGTAAGAGGGTTCCCTTTTCTCCACACCCTCTCCAGCATTTATTGCTTGTAGACTTTTGGATAGCAGCCATCCTGACTGGTGTGTAATGGTACCTCATTGTGGTTTTGATTTGCATTTCTCTGATAATGAGTGATGTTGAGCATCTTTTCATGTGTTTGTTAGCCATCTGTATGTCTTCCTTGGAGAAATGTCTGTTCAGTTCTTTGGCCCATTTTTTGATTGGGTCATTTATAACAAATCATTTTTATCCCTAATCTTTGTTCTAACCTTTGTGGATTTAAAAATTAGTGAGAAAGTTACTGTTTTCTCACTGTGAAAAAACCAGTATAAACCTAATTGGTAATTTTGTGGGTATTTTTTCCCTTTTAATATCTGTTGTGTTTTGTATTTCGTGACTTCCATGTACTCTTGGCAAGTAAAATTTTTCTTTTCTAAATGCTTCCATTTAAAAAAAAATCTTCTTTGACAATAGTTATTGGCACAGATGTGATAAATATCCTTCAGATGAATGAATAAATGAAGAACTGAACTTTGCCTCAGAGGAGTCAAGTCTAGAAATGGCATTTAGAAAAGCCACCATTTGAAATGCTATGATAAACCTAGACAGCATATTAAAAAGCAGAGATACTACTTTGCCAACAAAGGTCTGTCTAGTCAAAGCTATGGTTTTTCAAGTAGTCATGTATGGACATGAGAGTTGGACCATAAAGAAAGCTGAGCGCCAAAGAATTGATGCTTTTGTTTTTCTTCCCCAATTATTTTTATTAGTTGGAGGCTAATCACTTTACAATATTGTAGTGGTTTTTGCCATACATTGACATGAATCAGCCATGGATTTACATCTGTTCCCCATCCTGAAGCCCCCTCCCACCTCCCTCTCCATCCCATCCCTCTGGGTCATCCCAGTGCACCAGCCCCGAGCACTTGTCTCATGCATCCAACCTGGACTGGCGACCTGTTTCACACTTGATAATTTACATGTTTCGATGCTGTTCTCTCAGATCATCCCACCCTTGCCTTCTCCCATAGAGTCCAAAAGTCTGTTCTATACATCTGTGTCTTTTTTTCTGTCTTGCATATAGGGTTATCGTTACCATTTTTCTAAATTCCATATATATGTGTTAGTATACTGTATTGGTGTTTTATCTTTCTGGCTTACTTCACTCTGTGAATTGATGCTTTTGAACTGTGGTGATGGAGAAGACTCTTGAGAGTCCCTTGGGCTGCAAGCAGATCCAACCAGTCCATCCTAAAGGAAATCAGCCATGAATACTCACTGCAAGGACTAATGCTGAAGCTGAAGCTCCAACATGCTGGCCTCTTGACGCAAAGAACTGACAAACTGGAAAAGACCCTGATGCTGGGAAAGATTGAAGGCAGGAGAAGGGGATGACAGAGGATAAGATGATTGGATGGCATCACCTACTCAAAGGACATGAGTTTGAGCAAGCTCCGGGAGTTGGTGAAGGACAGGGAAGCCTGGCATGCTGTCCATGGGGTCACAAAGAACTGGACACAACTGAGCGACTGAACTGAGAACCCAGAGTAAACATTTCCTTATGCAATACAATGGGCAGATTTTTTTCAAATAATGCTAAAAAATTTTCCCCTAATTTGGACTGGTGCCAAACTCCTTTTACAAATATTGAGATAAATAAGGATGATGCCCTTCCTTCTCTCTCTTCACCTAGTATTATGTGTCACTACTCGAACTTCTTTGTGATGGGGGAGCATGATAAACTTCAGCCCTCAATTACATGAGTTATCTTTTAAAAAATCATTATTTACATTGCCCATCTACTCAAAGCCAGGATGTTTTTCCTAGAACACGTTTTTAATTCATTAAAATAATATAAAAACAAACACTACTTACTGGATCAAAGACCAACATCCTACAAAGGAGATGAACAGCTTCATGTGTAGCCTGGCTAGACAGGGTATAAAGCACAGGAAGAGATGGCTGCAAAAAAATAATTCAAATAAGTGAGTGAGTCTTTGTGTAAGTAGATGTGGGATACAGCCGATGTATGACAAGGTACGTACCCAGCTCTAAAGGTGTGCGCAGAGAAATCTCAACTCAAAGGAGGTGAGTATTCCCCTCATTAACCAGTCTTCACAAGCAACAACTGACTTTCAGTGCATAATTTATATTGCATGATTACCCATTGAAGGTCAGAGCACAAAAGAGCCTATGAAAACTGAAAGTAATCCTGCAAATATGAAACCCCTAATTAGCCTTATATTATACACACTTTGGCAAGGGAAGACCAAACATGCCGAGGGATGGGAGAAAAGATTTACAACCCTGGCCACTTGCAAGCGAACTGTGCAAATAAGCATGTGAACGATGTCTTATGTCAACGTTATCATAAAGTTGCTAAAATGCTGAAGGAGCTTTAGGACACTCAGGAGATTACAGAGTCTTCTAAGAAAGTATGACATTGCTTTTGCAGGTTCCAGCCATACTGCCTTTAGCACTGATTACTCACTCAATAATTGTCTTTTGTATTAATCAGGGGCAGGCATATCCACAACCTGTATCTAACCTTTTGCACTGAGGCAGGGAGATGATTCTAATGAGCCTAGAAGCCACAGAGCTTATAAAGCAGTTATTTTGCTGCTTGGCAGATGAATGGTGTCACTGCTCTGTCTCTCACTCAAGTGACACTGAAAGGTCCCCTTGTATCTTGATCACAGCCTTAGAATTCTGCTATGATAACTACTAGCATCAAGTATTCTATGTATCTGCCTCCTTCCAACAGTTAAGCTGTATAGGAAAATCCAACAAGACAAGACGACACTTCAGAATCATCAGGGGGTAATTATTCACCTTACAAATGTTTTCTTTGGGATCACGAGTTAACAGGAGATAAAAGGAGATGGAAGTTCTACTTCACTAACTAGATCAACACATCTGAATCTCAGTTCCCTAAAATGAGGAGGCTGGACTAAACAATCTCTGAAGTTTCGTTCTAACTGTACAATACTTGATAGGATCACTACAGATAAAGAGGACTATGCTCACAGAACTCATAGAAAATTGGCATTCAGATATGTGTAGACCAGTTCACTACTCCTTGGTGCATTTACCAAGGAGTAAATATCTAAGTCTATGGCAGCTCTAAAATTATTTGAATTAGTCAAGATGAGGGGGGGGTTGTGGACAGTGTGGGAAAGAGGTTTTAACTTATGATTTAACTTACACATATTTTCTGTAAGAATTTTTTTATTGTGTAAAATGAAGTCATTTGATATTCCTGAAAGATTCTGATTCTTGGTTTAACTGAATAGTTATCCTCTTTTTTACTGACTTGTGTAGGTTGGCAGCCAAATTCCAGCCAGTTTCTACTGACCAAAATGTCTCCCCATAAGCAACTCTTTCCCTTCCATTCTCAAAGTGAATCTACCCCTCATTCCATTTTTGTGGTGGAGGCAGGTTATAGCTTAAGGAAGGGAATACTAATACTAATACTGGAATAAGTACTAGAAGATGTGGCTTCAAATTCTAACTCTGCCATCACTAGACTCAGGTAAGTGACTTGCTTTGGCTCTCATCCATTAGACTACACCAGTACAGACCTGCCTACCTACCAACATTGCTGCTAATCCTGACATCCACAAAGTGCCAGGTCCTGGGCCAGATGCTGAGACAACAAAGATGATTAACACCTCTCTGGTTAAGGAAAACATAAGAACAAGCAGTTCCAGAGGTCTCTGAATAGAGGATCTAAGACAAATTAGAAGGCAAAATTTATGACCAGAGGACAAATGGATATGGGATGGAGAATTTGTGAAAATCAAGAGTGGATGTTTAAGGCTACCTGAAATATTACAAATTCACCCTCCCCCCAATATTATTCTTCTTTATAGAAGTACATTCCAACAAATACACTAAAAATAATCCTAAGTTTCATTTCAGCCTTAACAGTCATTTGATATACTTTCTCCTTTTCTGTGTTTTTATATGCATGTTAAAAAGAGGCCCAGAGAAAAAGAAGAGTCAGTTCAGCCATGCCAGTACCTCTCCCAAACGATAACTATCAATAATTTAGCAATGGCTCCACAGGAAAGATGCAATACTACAAATGCTGCATTTCTTTCTTTCTTTTTTTGCTGCACGCTGTGGAGCCAATGCTAAGAAATTTATATTTCTCAACATGTGCAACAGAGTCAATTTGAATAAGAGAAAAAATAAGTTTAGGTGCTGCTGTTCAGTTGCTTCAGTCATGTCCGACTCTTTGCAACCCCATGGAGTGTAGCTCGACAGGCTCCTCTGTCCATGGGATTCTCCAGGCAAGAATACTGGAGTGTGTTGCCATGCCCTGCACTAGAGGATCTTCTCGACCTGCGTCTCCTGCATTGTGGGTGGATTCTTGACTGCTGAACCATGAGGAAGCCCTAGAATGCTTAGAAACATGCCTTAAACATCTCCTTTGGAAAAAAGTTTCTGCCAATTCCCCCAATACTCACACACATTATTTTTCTCCCTCTAAAATATATGGGTCCATTTTATACAGGTCCATTTCCTGTTGTTCAAGTCTGTAAGTCACTCAGGCCATGTAGGAGTGAGTGGGTGCCATGCTGAGTCACGAGGACAGGAAGGGTTATGAAGAGTGCACCAGTGATGACTATGAGTAACTGCCAGTAAAATGAAGCAAGGATGAGCCTCTGGCTTGAGCGAGAGGCCCTAGGTGATAGATGCCACAGTTATCAAGAGACTTCCGAGTGTGGTCACCACAGCAGAGTCAGCCAGGCTGTGCAAGGCCCGTTGGAGACTCCTGACAGTCTTTACCTGGCAGCAGAGAAGCCGCGCTCAGTCGGCAGCATGACTGAGCTGTACCGCGCACGGTGCACTACGGTGAGCACTTTGGGGTTATACAAAAGAAACCCCCATCTGAACACTAAGGAGTTTGAGTTGCGTGAACTCTCTAGAGTACTCTCATTCTCTTAACTGGAAGATAAAGTCCCTGACAGGAGCCAGAACTATTTTCGCCTCAGTGAAAATATTTTACTTATTTCTGACACAATTAGCTGAGAATGATCTGAGGAAAAACGAAGCTATAAACCTTATGAGATGAACAAAGGGACTAAGGGCTGGTAGGAGACTTCTCAATCCTATCAACATGGCAGAGCCTCAACAATCTGCCTTAATAGATTCCTGGGCCATGGCAGCTAAGATTCCCTTCATCCGAGATCCTGAGTTGTAGTTCAGTTCAGTTCAGTTGCATCCGACTCTTTGTGACCCCATGGGACTGCAGCACGCCAGGCTACCCTGTCCATTACCAACTCCTGGAGCCTACTCAAACTCATGTCAAGAGTTGTAGAAAAGAGACAATGCATAGAAAATACCAGTGTTTTTGTCTGCCCATTATTTCCTGACCTTAAGGGACCCAACTCCTTTTCTCACTCTCAGATCAAGTGATTCAACTGGGAATTGATTTCAGTCTCCCAACTGCAAAGATGGGCAGAGGGCTTGGCCAATCAAATGATGTATTCTCCTGAGCACCACCACTGCTTCTAGGAAGATGTACATAGTTAAAACAGGTTGGGAACAGTCAATGGGTAATGGGTGGCTAACCTAACACACCCTCCCAATCCTTTTATCCCTTATCTACCCTTAATAACTGGGATAGAAAAGACACCTTTTTTTTTTTTTAAGCCTTTCTTGCCTTCTGGGAGGCCACATGCCATACAGTTCTGGACAGTAACACATAAGCAGAGGTTTGCTAGGCAGGCTTCTGGGAAAATGTTTGCTTTCCTGAGAAAAGGAAGAGATACTGCTAGTGCTTCCTCTTTGCTCCATTTTCTTGTTTTGAATATGGATATGATTTGTGGACAAGCTAGAGTCATTTTGTGACTATGAGGCAATAGGCAAGAGAGTATGAAGTCACATGCTAAAGGTGAAAAAAGAAAGAAAAAAACTAGATCCTCGATGACATAATTGAGCTGCAATGCCATCACCAGACTGCCTACCTCTGGGACTTTTTGATATGAGGAAAAAATAAACTTCTATTTCTTTAAATCATTATAAGCAAGGTTTCTGGGACTTCCCTAAAGCTCAGATGGTAAGGAATCTGCCTGCAGTGCAGAAGACTCAGGTTCGATCCCTGGGTTGGGAAGATCCCCCGGAGAAGAAAATGGCAACCCACTCCAGTACTCTTGCCTGGAGAATTCCATGGACAGAGGAGTCTAGCAGGTTACGGTCTAGGGGGTCTCAAAGAGTTGGACATGACTAAGCGACTAACACACAAGCAAGGTCTCCTAATCCTCACGACCAAGTGCATTCCTAACAGAATCAGAGACCCTCCAAATATTTGTATTAATCTATCTGGGAAAGCTCTTTCCTGGAGGATTCATATGCTAATAGAATGTAGGCCTAGATTATTGGCTTCATTTTGGCCAACTCATGGGGGAAAGCCTGCCTGAAAATGAAGCCAAAATACAGGAAAACAGAACAGAAGAGAGGCAGATTCCTGGTATGAAATATCATTTGGCTACTTGAATCCAGCAGAGCCCAAAGTCAGTGGTAGCTCAAGACTTTTCAGTTATATGAGCCCTAAGTTATGTATCCTTTCTGACTTCAGTCAGCTTTAACTGAGTTTCAGTGGAAAGAATCCTGACTGATAAACCACTTGGAAGGATGTGTATTAATCAACCAACATAAGTATATTAATTTGAGGCAGTAATCTGTGACTTTAAGAAGATAGCCAATGAGGTTTTCCTTCTGTACATGTGTATTTTTAAAAAAATCCCAACAAACAATAGTATACATTTCTGTTTGTACAAATATATGTAAAGGCATAGAAAAATGTCTGGAAAGATATTTTCAAATTAATCCAGAGGAGACTAGGATGATGTAGGGGAGCTGAGAATGACTAACTCTATACAATTTTTACTTTACGTGTACCCATATTTACTTGCAAATACACAAACAAAATTTTTTAAAAATCTGCTTTGAAGGCATATATGCCAAGTATTGATAAACTAGTTTAATACCCCTGATACTGGGCAGTAAATTGAACATAACAGATATTGTTACATCTTTCAATACAGAACCTTCCTCTAGGTTGAGACGGTGCTCTTCTAAGGGAGTCAGCGCCCCCATCATTTCAGAAAGATGTAACCAGCAGGGGGCTATTTAAAACACCAGGACCTACATCTCTAGTAGTAAATCTACAATGACTAGCTTGGGCTAGTTTTAGAAGATAACATGTTTTACCCACTGCCTTTTTTGCCTGTGAAAATGGAAGCTCCAGATTCACACCAGAATCATAGACAGGGAACTCTAAAGTAAAGGCAACGCCTTGATCAAATGTCCGGCAGGTAATCTGAGGCCTGCCAAACTCCATCTGTCACTTGGTCTATCAGTTACGTCAACCAGATCTTCTAACGATCAATCAGATCATCTCAATGCCCATTATAAAAGAAAGCAAGGCAAAGCCTAGGGAAGAGTTGCTGAGGCTCCCTGGTCAGGCCTTCTCCCCTCTGTCTCGGTTTGTTGTTCCTAGGAAAAGTATTCCCCTTACTCACTCTTCACATCATTAAGCTGTTTTGTCCAGAGAAGATTAGGAAAGTGCTTCTAAAAAATGCTGTTAAATCAACAGGGTGGAAATAATAACCATCTCATCTTTCTCAGCAGTGACTTGGCTGGTTGCAAGTAATATTGATCAGTGCAAATCTGGCAATCTCTCTTCATACTTCTTTTCTAACAACATTCACATCTGATTCTGTGTTAGTGGCAAGAGTGCAATAGAAACAGCTTCACATTCCTGGCTGGAATAAGAGATACCGGATATTTCGGCTCAGTATGTGAGAAACGACAGCTTTATACACATATACCAGGTTGATACTGAGGTCAAGGCTCCACCCCCGGTAACTTGTCCCCAACGTGGCAAAAACCAGGAGACCAAAGCCAGAGGTCATTTACTAGCAAAGGTGCTACAAAAATACTCTCCTGCAGCACTGGGAATTACTATATCCTATTGGGTTTGACAAATATTTTAACATTTTACCTATGGCCATGACATAAAAAAATTAATAAAACCTACATGTAATGTTTTTGTTTAAACATTCTCATCTCGTTATTCTGTGGGAGGGAAACTCTGCCCAAACAGGTGGGGACCAAATACAGGACCCCTCTGTCTCCTCTCACCTGTTTATGAGGACCCCTGAGTATGTGTGCCTTAGCGCCTTCACAAGCCGTCCTCATTGCTTCCAGTGATGGTGTGCCCAAGAGATCTGTGATCAAATCCAACTACGAACAAACAGGAAATACAGATGGTTAGTAAGCTCATGGAAACAACCTTTCATTACTCTTATGTCATAGCCTGAGAAATGAGGACCAAATATGGAGGGGAGCAGAAAACTTAGGAAAGTTCCAGATTAACTGGTAGGAGCCTCTATTTTCACTTTCTGGACTATTAAAAAAAAAAGACCAAAAAAACCAGAAAAATCTTCAGTTGGGATCTATATGATAGAAATAAAGAAAATGGTTTTGGCCACTATGGCATTCCAAGGTGACAGTAATTTATGAGTCTGTATGTGCCTGCTGTGTGTCTTCACACCACATATAATCTTTCACATTGGTGAACAACTGTGGTGCCCAGAAAACTGTGACACTGTGTAAGGCCACGTCTAGTTAGCTGGGCACAATAAAAGAGACCAAAAAAATGGTCTTCTCACAAACAAGCCCTTGTAGATAGCAAACTGCCTTAACCATTTTCTCTAAGTGCTATGATTATTCTAACCCAATTAGCAATGACATCTCATTCTAATTCTTCCAGAATGGAAAATTCTTACAGAGAAAACTTCTTCTCCTAGTTCTGGGATTTCCAAATATAAAGCACTATTTCCTGCACTTAACTAAACCATGGGGTGGCCCTCAGTATCACTGCCCTCCAGGATAATGGAGTTTCTCAAGTGGCTTGTTTTGCATAGAATTAAACATCTCTGTGCAAAAGCTTTCTGGGAAAAGTGACCTGGCAATACTTTTGGACCTCTAATAAACACAAAAGGAAATGAGCAGTTCATGAAAACAACTGGAAATATTGAGAACGTTGTCTAAAATGGGTCAGATCCAGGCCTCCCTGAGGGCTCAGTGGTAAAGAATCCGCCTGCTAATGCATGAGACACGGGTTTTATCCCTGATTCGGGGAGATCCCACACTCCTTGAAACACCTAAGTTTGTGTGCCACAACTGTTGAGTCTGTGCTCTTGACCTGGGCTCTGCAACAAGAGAAGCCGCCGCAAAGAGAAGCCCTTGCTCGCCACAACTAGAAAAAAAGCCTATGCAGCAATGAAGACCCAGCACAGCCAAAAATAAATTAAATTATTAAAATGGCTCAGATCTATGGATAAGAAACATTTTAATGAAGTCTGCTGATACTACAGCACATAGGACATTTATTTCTCAAAGAGAAAATGCTACAGCAAATATCTATTAATACTTCCATTTGTAAGTTAGACTCTGTTTTCGTTATAGATCTTGATTTCTCACTCCAAAACACAATGGTGACTGATAGATGTGAGTTCTCCTTTAGTGGCTACATCAGACTGAAAAACTCAAGACCTATGTTATTTCTCTAGAAAATGAGGTATCTGAATCCCGTTCCGGTTGCTTCACATTCTCCTTTGTACATTCTTTTCAGCACTGGGTCTTCGTTGCTGTGCATGGGTTTTCTCCAGCTGTGGAGAGTGGGGGCTACGCCCAAGTTGTGGTGCTCAGGCTTCTCGTGTTGCAGAACACAGGCTCCAGGTGCATGGGCTTCAGTAGCTGTAGCTCTTGGGTTCTAGACTGTGGGCTCGGTAGTTGTGGCGCATGAGTTTTGTTGCTCCGAGGCATGTGGAATCTTCCTGGATCAGTGATCAAACCCGTGCCCCCTGCATTAGCAGGTGGATTCTTACCCTCCGTACCACCAGGGAAGTCCTTACTTAAGCTCTTCTGTATGGCAGCTTATGTCCATATGTGATGTCATCTTATAGGTAAGGCTGTTAAACTCTACTTTCTAAAGAAATTGAGTAATAAAGTGGATATTATCAATAGTACCCAACATTAGATTTATATATGATAATATTTTAATCACCAAGATCAATTTTAAAAGATGTAGACTTAAACAAAAATGACTGGATGTATAGCAGGGAAATAAATTTAAATGTTGATCAGAGCATATACAGTTTCTAATGTATCACTTAACAATTCTTGGTAGATAGAGCATAAAGGAGATGGTTTCATTTTTTGTCATGTGCATGAATTATTTACAAAGATACACAGTAGGTAGGGTCATCTTTTCAAATGTGATCAGTCAAGTCTTAACACTCTCTTGCTCAAAAACAGACAGCTTTCCATCACACTTTGGACAGAATAAAACCCAAAGTCCTTATCGGGTCGCCAAGGTCAGGCAGGCTCTTTTTCTGTGACCTCATCTTCTACACACTCTTCCTTAATCATGCCATCACTCCAGCACACCCACACTTGTTCCTGTCTCAGAGGATTCTATTATGCTGGTTGTCCCTTTGGTCCCAGGTGTGTTCCTGGTGCCGCCTCCATCCAGGCACCTTCTGGCTGTCCCTTTGCCTGGAATATTTGTTCCTGGTATCTTGCTCCCTCATTTCACTGGAGTCTCTCCTCAAATGTTACTCCCTCAGATGGTTTTTTAGCACTGCTCTGGCTCCATCATCACTCTCTATCCCTAACCTGGTTTAATTCTTTTTGGTAGTATTTATCATTACTTGGGATTATATTTATTTTCTTTAAAAAGATATTTGTTTGAACACATCAGGTCTTAGTTTGTATCATCTGGGATCTTTCACTGCCGTGCACAGGCTCTCTAGTTGTGGCTCATGAGCTCAGCAGTTGTGGCTCACAGGCTTACATGCTCTGAGGCATGTGGATCCCAGTTCCCCAGCCAGGGATCAAATCCACGTTCCTTGCACCAGAAGTGCAGAGCCTTAACCACTGGACCATCAGGGAAGCCCCCCAACTTATTTATTTTCTGTCTCACATGAAAGTTTCAGAAAGCTTTATTTACAGCTGTATCCCTCATACCCTGGCACACTGCCACCACCACCATCATAATTGCTAACATTTACTGAGTGCTTACCAGACTCCAGGCCTTAGTTTTGGCTCTATTACTTCATTTATTCTGCACAACAATCCTCAGAACAGTTTAACTTGCCCAGGATTTGACTGATAGCAAATGGCAGAGTAGGATTTGAATCCACCAACTGGATTGTACAGCCTGACTCACCATTGTTACATTCTTCTCATGCAAACATGATTGTTAAAATTTTTACGAATAAAACATACTTAAGAATTAGACCAAAGAAAATGTGGGTAGTAACGAATTAGTTTATAAAGGCAGACAGTTAAAGTATCACAAATGGTTTCCAACATTTTAATCAGCTTCTGATATTCTCTGCCATATTTAAATTATTTAGTCCAATATAGGTTGGAAAGGGTTCTAAATGTTCGTATTTAAAGAAGTAAACACTCAAATTTATATTCTAAGCACAAAGTGTAAGTACATTAAGTCACCAAATACATTTTCGAGTCAGATCCATTCAGTTAGAAAGAACAGAGGCTCTCAAACCACTGAAGATTACACCTGTGCAAACTGTTACAGCGGAGTCTGCTTGCCATGCATCAGTTCATGTAATAAAGTCAACATTCCCCGCAAGCTGCAAAATCAATCTCTCTGTAATCTTCGTAACTTTCTGAATTTTAAGTGAACTTGAATTTGCTAAAAGCAATTTGGACAGTACAATGAATAGCCCAAGATGTGCGCAAGATCGTTTTTCCTTGAAATCTGTAATAGAATTGAAAGTTCCTAAAGCCTAAAGTGAAATCATACCTGCTGAATGGGACTCTGTGCCTGAAACAGTATTCTTCGTCCTAGTAGTTCTGCAAAGATACATCCGACAGACCAGATGTCAATAGCATTGCTGTAATGACGGCTGCCCATCAGGATTTCTGGAGCCCGATAATACTGAGTAACAACTTCCTGAGTCATGTGACGGGATTCATCTAATTCTTCCACTCTGGCCAATCCAAAATCACAAATCTAAACAGAATAGATTATCAAAATGTTGTCAAATAGACACATCCATTTACAAGTGGAATAGTAGAACAAAATAATAAAAAACTAAAATCTTGATAGACCTCTGAACTTTGCAAAGTTTTCAGTGATACAGGTGGAGTACATTTGTGTCAGTATATAACTTGGTATTATTTGGATGAGAGGGAAGAAAGTCTCAAACTTCCATATTTCTATACAGAATTATTGTAAAGACAAGCTTTTCACTTTTCATTTGTTTTTAACTGGTAACTAATGAAACAAACAGAAAGCAATTGAATGTATACTTTTCGGTTCAATGAAGAAACCAAGCTAATTTATTTTCAAGGCTGCTTATGGAGGAAGACAGTATAAGGAAAAAAAAAAGATCTCCTGAGCTAACTATGTTCACTATCTTTTTGTTTGTTTTTAGCTGCACTGCATGGCTTGTGGGATCTTTGCTTCCTGATCAGAGATGAACCCCAGGCCGTGGCAATGAAGCCATCAAGTCCCAGTCACTTAGACCACCAGGGAATTCCCATATGTTCACTATCTTTATGGAATATACACAGTAAAATTTCTTCAAAGCTATGGGTTTCAAACAGAGTCCTGCTGAATCCTGAGGTACTTCAGGAGTTCCATGAACATTTTACCTAAATTTCACATGAATCTATAAATATTTAAAATACTAATTCACATTCCAATGTGTGAATATGTCAAAAAGTAGCACACTGTAGAATACCAATGCTAACAGGTCCCTTCATTTCTTCATGCCACAAATATTCAATTAATTGAATGTCTATTATATTTTAGGCAGTATGCTAGAACTTGGGAGACAAAATGGTAAATGAGAAAGACTGGTTGATTTACCTACAAACCTAGGAATAAATCTTTTCTTGCTCTTTCTGTTTATTTTATGTCATTAATTTATTTATCTTTGGCTGCGCTGGGTCTTTGTTGCAGCACACGGGCTTTTTTCCCCTAGTTGTGGAGAGTGGGGGTTACTCTCTGGTGGCAGTGGGCAGGCTTCTCGCTGCAGTGGCCTCTCCTGTTGCCGAGCACAGGCTCTAGTTATGGCACGTGGGCTTGGTTCCCCTGCTGCACGTGGTATCTTAGTTCCGGGACCAGGGATCGAAGCCATGCCTGCGTGGGCAGGCAGATTTTTAGCCACTGGACCACCAGGGAAGTCTTGCCCTTTCTGTTTAAGTGAAAAGTTCTTGGAGGCTGAAAGGTGAGCTGTTAGTAAACGGCAGCAGTGCCACCACCAGCAAATTCTGCTTATTTTCAGGAATTGAGATTTTCTTGATACTGGGCAACCAAAACAGAAACTGGGAGCACTGAGGAAGAGATAAGAGAGGAATGACCATCTAAGCTCCAGTGTTCTCATTGATTAAGTCTGAGTCAATATTATTAACATAACTGACAAAATAATACTTATCTGCCTTCTAAGTTGAGGTCCTGCCATAAGATTTTATTTGAAAAAGGGGTCTCATAGCTTTAAAAAGCACTGGAAAACTACTGTTTTAAAGAAAACATATTTTAGCCCTAATTTTTGGCAATCTTCTCTTTTAATCTTGAATCTACTATGTCTGGTCGCATCAAATGAATGCATGTCTGTATGTGGGGACAAATCAGTATGAAACCAACATCTTTAAAACTTAAAATGAAAGTACATTTTCAGACCACACAGTAAAACTATACCAAAAAGGAAAACAGGCATATGTTGTTTATCAAATCCTCCCAAAACCCAGTGTTCAAATAACACATAATATTTTAAAACTCTATTACTTGACCAAAAATTTTTAGGCTATCTTTTAAAACAAACAAAAAAACCCCACTAAAAATCCACTTTATTTCTCTGGTATTAAAAAACAAAACAAAACAAAACACCACCTTACCCAACAGAAAATGTTTTCTCTTATAAAGTAAGCCTTTTGTTTTTAAAAAAAAAAAAAAATCTGGATTCATTTTTTGGCAATTTATCTGGAAGACAGGCTAAATCCAAAGTAAGAAGCTTATATGATCAGATAACCAAAAAGATATTGCAATTTCCAGCAAAATTATCTGCTTTGGGCCTAATAGTAAACAAAATAGAGTCTCAATCTAAAAGGATGATTTTTTTTTCTCTTTTTTTTTCTTTTATTTTTTTTTTCCATTTATTTTTATTAGTTGGAGGCTAATTACTTTACATCATTGCAGTGGTTTTTGTCATACATTGAAATGAATTAGCCATGGATTTACATGTATTCCCCATCCCGGTCCCCCCTCCCACCTCCCAAAGGATGATTTTTAAAAAATGTTTTGTCATAATTATTTTCTATGAATTTTTACATTTGAGAAGAGAGAATTAGCATCAGTAGATTGGCAATCTACTCTTTTTAAAAGTAAGCTGCCAAGACAAGTTAAAGGAGCAGAGCAAAATTTCAGTTTGTTCTGATCTGTATGTTGTTTATTCATAAATGACATCTTCTTTTAGTTACTCTTTCATGTAGCTGGAGGTTACAATATCATAAAAGACGATTTAGAAAATGTACTGCAAGCAGTTAATGGCATCAAGCATGACAGGCTCTACACAAATGCTTTGTGAAGTTCTCCAACCAGAAACTGAAATAAGAAGAAATTGGTTTAAACTGTCGTATAAGTGACTTGGTCTGGATAAGTCAAAGAATTTTTGACTCTAAGGTTTTTGATTATTTTAAAAAAAGAATTAAAGTGGGTTATGGAGATAAGGTCTGAAGATGTTTATTACATTGTATTTTAATAGTTTGCTACTACTCTATTCATTTATTTTTGGCTGTGTGGGGACTTCGTTGCTGTGTGGGCTTTTCTCTACTTGAGGCTACCGGGGGCTACTCTCTAGTTGTGGTGCATGGGCTTCTCATGACATTGGTTTCTCTTGTTGCAGAGCATGGGCTCTAGGGTGTGTGGGCTTTAGTAGCTGTGGCACATGGGCTCAGAAGTTGTGGCTCCTGGGCTCTGGAGTATAGGCTCAACAGTTGTGGCGTGTGGTCTGAGTTGCTCCATAGCACGTGGGATCTTCCCAGAGCAGGGATCAAACCTGTGTCTTCTGCACTGGCAGGTGGATTCTTTACCACTGAGCCACACAGGAAGCCTGGTTACAGCTCTTTTTATTTATTTATTTTTTAATTAATTTATTTGGCTGCGCTGGGTCTTAGCTGTGGCAAATGGGATCTAGTTTCCTGATTACAGATTGAACCTGGGGCCCCTGCATTGAAACTTCAGAGTCTTAGCCACTGGATCACCAGGGAAGTCCCACAGTGAAAAGCGGCAGGGGAGTGAACTCAATGACCTACAGAAGGAAAATTTACTTTGGGAGTTTTTACTTTAATGGTTTTTGGGACAATTAATTATCTGTGGAAACAAAACAATTAAGGATAATATTAGTGTTTTCAAGGAAAATATGAAAAATAGGTGTTTTTAATCTTTCTAGAGTTAAAACAGCAGCAGAGTTCTTCACATATAGAGTGAAGGGAGATTTTTTTTTCATTCAAAAGCAGTTTAAAACACTAGCTTTTAAAGAAAACTGGGCCACAGTTTAAAGAAAGCATTTAAAATAAAAAATGAAATTCATTTATATACTTGGTTTTAAGGTTTAGTTTAACTGCCAACAGGATAAGTACTAATGACAGTTGATTACATTTAAAGTAGGCAACATTTATAAACAGTTCTTTTCTTTTTCAAATATATCAATTGAAATGTTAAGAATATTTACTGTAGACTGAAGCACCATATAATACTGTAGCCGCTCATAAAATAAGTGGAATTTTAATTTGCTTTCAGAGAGATGACTCAGCTCTAGGAAGGCCCTTATGTCCAATTTCTGTAATGGGGAAAGATATGATGGGCCTTTCACTATTTAGGTCTGTTAAGACACATTTCTGTTAGGGAGAAGGCAATGAACATGTGGATTTTGCTATTTGTGAGCCTCTCTAACAAAAGACAAAGGGGGTGGTACTACCTCGAGAGTAAAACTGAAATTGATGTCTTGAGATATGGGGGCTGCTAACCATAATAAACCCTGTAATCAATACCCCTTCAGAGGGGTAACTGAGGATTGGCCACTACATACTGTGGAAATACCTTTGACCCTTTTCTGGTTTAGTATTTTCACTTTTAAATGTTTCTATTTCCCTACTTTGCTGCCTCAGGCAAACAGCATATAAAAACATCAGCTGTGCAAAAACATACAGTCTTCTTAAAAGCCACAATTGATTGTCATGTAAGTAGATGCTTACTGGTCTTCCAATCTTTTTTCTGATATACACTTTCTTTGTAATGGAACAAGCTGAAAAGAAATCACCTTCTCTAGTCTTCTTTCTAGTCACATTGCAATTCCAATGTTTCCAAAATACGTGCAAAATATCATGGAGAAACCATGAGCCAAGACTACAAATTAAGTTACTATTTTGTCCATGACTAGTGATATTGGTGGAGAACACTGGGTTCTTTAATTTCTGGCAAAGTGATGAGAATAAATTTAACCATGTCTTTCACAAAAACGTGCTCTTAAACACATCCTGACATTCCACTTGTTTCCTAGATGTTTAAATAAAATGAAGAGCTACCTTTAGAACACAGTTGCTGTTCACAAGGAGATTCCCTGGCTTAATGTCTCGATGTAAAATGCCAGCTGAATGGAGATATTTCAAACCTGAAATAACAAACAGATATAACTGCAGATATTTAATTCCTTTTACTCAACCAATGATTTGGGGGAAAACCATAGAAACAAGAGTACAGGATTTTAAATTGTTCTCTAAATAACTGCATAATGAACATTATTAAAAGCTTGACTTAGTCCTACCTCAAAAAACTGTAATTTTGCTACAGTAAAATAAAATGTCATCAAAGGTTTGCACAGTCTAGAGATAATGTCTATAATTTGAAAGATTATTTAGGTTTAAGTATAGATAAGCATTCCAAGCCCTGGAGTTAAGGCTGACCAGACCAATAACCTTGAACAGTTTGTAAGTGTGGCTCCTGGAGCTCTGGATACTCCGAAGCTGATTGTGAGCTGCTGCCACAAAATAGTTCCCATTAACCAACAGAAAGCCTTTTCCAGGACAGATTTTCACTGATGAGACAAAATTCAGAAACTTGCCCAGGTCTGTTGGTAGTCTTCTCCACCACTAAGAATCAGGGAGGTAATTAATTACTTTAAAAATATTTTTGATATCTTTATAAAGTCTGTGGGCTTTAGTAGTGCTAGATAAAAGGCACAGCTTCAAGGCTGAGTCTTCTGAATAAAATAAAGCAAATCACATTTCTACAATGTTAAAGAAGGTCCTCTATTCAGTTTCTTCCCTCTGCCACCACCCCCACTCCCAAATATCAACAAATCTACAGAAGGTGAACTTTCTGGTTTTAACACTGTGTATGTGTTTTAGTTCCTCTGGCAGATGCTTTTCAATTTTTATAAGGAATGTCTGAATTCTTTGAATCCTATGGGAGAAAAAAGTATTTTACTAGGTAAGAAAACTGTTTCAGCTTTAAACAGGTGTAATGCCAAAATTCTGAAGGACACACCTGATGGCCAGAGGAAGCTCCAACAATGTCAGCCCAAACTGTTTCTCTGTCGTCAGTACTCCTTAATGAGCCAGGCTGGAGAGGGAGCGAGTTGGCTGTTTCTGTCAGTCTTCTCCATGCTTTGACTTTATAAAAGTCATTTTGCTTTTCTAGAGTGGAACTCAGGCACGCCTGCCAACTCTCAGACCAGGCCCACCTACTGCTGGCTTAAAGAATGTATGCCATCCATAGGAAACACAGTTCCTTTTCAGTTAATCATCTGATGCCAGCCACATACTCCTACTAATGGTTGTTCAGTGGAAGCTTTGTGGCAAAACATCCTGCTTACTTACCCCCCGGGATTAACCCCCTTGACTACCTAATGAATTAGATAGGACCTTCTCTTCCATCACCGAAAATAAGAACCATCTGGCTACCCTTAAAAGCTTCTTATTTAACATCAAGTATAGAGAGTATTAAATATACTTTGGTCAGAAGAAAAAAGTTGTTAGGCAAGAAGTAAGCCTTGGAAGGTCAGATTAGTTCAAATGAAAAGCAAAACACTCCATTTATATAGTGACAATACCTTTTTCTTCACAGAGAAAGTCTTACCTCGCAAAATCTGATAAAGAAAAACTTTGACATGATCTGAGCTGAGTGGTTGAGGAGAGACGATAATTTTATGCAGGTCACTCTGCATCAGTTCTGTGACAACATATCTTGAAGTTTTTGGTTAAGGAGAGTTCAGAGAATTCAGCCCCCAATCCCTATAAATTAGGTATCAACTCTAAATACGTAACTTCCCTTTTTAAGGCTTGAAAAAGCTTTAGGGAAAGAAACTTTTGGATAGCATGAAAAGAGATGACAATTCCAACCCTCCTAAGACGAAAACACTGCCAAAATGAAATAATTTTAAAAAGTTAGAAGTTAACAATCAAGTGACTATAATTAGCACTATAAAAGAGAAAAATAAGGGTAAATATTTTCAAAGACAGCCAGATCAGGAGAAATGTGAAGACCAGCAGTCTCAGGGTCTATTCAGACATGTTCCTGGAGTGTCCTCTAAATCCAAAAAAGAAAGGGTGCTGGTCTCACGCTAGGCCACCAGGGCACCAAAGCAAAAGATGTAGTCCATCCATTAACAGTGGCTTCAGTTACTTTGTAAAGCATGGTACTCCGAAAAACAGGCAAAACGGTTAGTTCATATCTCAGTCTCTACATTCTTCACAACTGAACTTTTATTGTTTAACTTCTTATACATTTATACCTCCCGTACTTAATTTTTTAAGCTTCCTATGCTTTGTACTCCGTTATATCCTCAGGGCTTTGCACAGTCAACATGAGGCAGGTGATCGAAAGCTAGGGCCCAGGGAGTAAAGGAGATGTGGAATTCTCTCGGTAAAGGCACTACTGTCTCTTGCTTATCTAGAAAAGGACAGATTCATGACTTACCCCTGCCTTCAGTAACAACTCCTTAAAATTTTAGGCAAGTTTTACGATTTATAAGCTTCCTTCAGACAAGGGAAAAGGGCCTTTGAGTTTAGGAGGCTCTTACAGGATTTAAATTCTTTTGACACATTCTATATGTGAAAAGAATCTAAAAGAGGGTGGGTATATTATGAATGATTCACTTTGCTATAGAGCAGAAATTAACACAACATTGTAAATCAACTGTATTCCAATAAAAATTAATAAAGACAAATGAACAAACAAGAAAAAAACCCCAAACAAATTCGTTCGACACCTTGTAAAAGTTAGTTTCACATTCTGAGTAAAACACACTAAGGCTTCTTCCCCAGCCCCGGGCACCTGAAAGCAGGAAAAGGCAAGACAAAAAAATAGCACAGTTAGCTTGCTTTCTTACATATTTCCTCAGATCCTAAAATTCTTCTATGAGAAAGATATTATGGAGGTTGGAGTCTTTGGGTGCTCACCATTAGCTATAAAAAACTAAAAGGATCTGGGGCAAAGCCTCTTTTTTCAGCACTGGCATGCTCATTGGAATGGTAAGTGCTGGACATAACTTACATTTTCAAAAAGCAACATGAGGTTTTGTATCTTACCTTTCTGAGCTTTAAAAAGTCTCTTGTAATAAGTGATTATTATTTGGGGACTTAAAAACACTTCTAATTTCATGTTTCAGCATAAACAAGTAGGAAAAGGGACAACTTGGGCATAGGGAGAATGAAAAATTGATAACAGCTGACATACATAGTTGGACTACCCCTCCTTTGTGAGACGTTTTCTCCAAATGGCTGGTGGAACGTTCAGCTCTGACTTTCCCTCTCCCTTTCTGGTGGTTTCCTCTCATTCCCTTTGTTGGTGCTCCTTCCCAACCACTTACTGTTGAAATGCCCCAGGGCCTGGTCCTCTTCTTTTCAGATACTCACTCTCTAGGGTAATCGAAGACAGTCCCATGACTTTAAATAACATCCAGGCTGACGACTCCCAACTTTACATCTCTAGTAATTTTCTTGCCTTAAGTCCAGCCTTGTATATTTAACTGTCTACTCATCATCTCCAATGGATGACTCACTGACGGCTCAAAATAACATGTCCAAGGTATTCTGTAAGAGCGGGGGAAGAGCCAAAGACACCATAGCTTAGCTCCTGCTGTCGCCAGGGAATAAGGCTTTATTTGGTCTCCTGTGGGGTAGGAAAAGACACCTAAACATCTTTACTACTTCTAACAAAGGCTTGCAAGCAATTCTGAGTTTAGACATACCTGCATCCCTACTTTCTAAGATACCTGATGCCTCCAATTCCTTAGCTGCTTTGATCTTCTGAGCAAGAAGTAACCCGCTTCTGGGTTCTCATTACTACCAGCAGAGGTTTCTGCCTCTTCTAGTATGAATTCTTGGGGACTGTAGGAAGGATTTTAGCAATAAAGATCTGTTTTATCAAATGTGTTTTCAGATGGAAACTGTTTACATGTTTATTGGCCACATATATGTGTGAGTATGAGAGGAGAAAAGAGAGGAGGAGTGAAGAGAGAGACTTGTTTCTTTTTTCAACTCAGTTTTCTACTGGGGTGATAATTTTATTTGTAGAAGTGCCTTACATATTAAGGATATTAACCCTCTTGTATATACGAAAAAGTTTTTTTTTTCCCCACTGGGAAATCTTAATCATAGGATAGAGACAGGGGAAAAAATTTTCTATTTGCACCATTAAGCCTTAATCAGAGGTTCTAATATTCTTGAGTTGGTTCCAGAAATCTCAAGGGATGAAAACAAAGGAACATCACACAGGGAAAAAACAAAACAGAACAACAGAGCAAAAACAAAAAAAACCTTCACAACCGCCATCCCTGTATTGTCAACTTGTGGTTTTACTCAGGAAAAGAAAACTCCTAAACAGAGTACTTATCTGTATGGGATGTCAGTCATGTCTTCTGAGTTTACTGACAATTTTCTTCTTCCTGCCAGGATTGAAAAGTTCTTGCATGGAAGTGAAGAGCAGGTTATATTCTATTCTGTCTCACATATCTACAAAACAGGCAGCCAAGCTGCGATGCCAGAATCTTTACTGTTACTGGTGACAGTTGGTATGCATGCAAACAGCAGAGAGAAAACATCTTAATTTTCAAGTTATCAGGTTGAATTCATGGTGCTGGCACTTGAAAAATCTTGCTTTGACTTATAAAAGGAACAAACTGATACAAAAGCCAAAAACAGAGAATAAGCATGAAATAATGTCATATGCTTTCTTCTAACAGTGACTACATTTTCAAAGAAAAGGGAAAACATTGGCTGGAATGGGTACTATTCTAACCAGATATTTTACAAATAATTACTAATTTCAGGAAACACTCTTATATTTAACTACGCATGATGAAACAAGTATTTCCAGATCAGGGTGTTGTTTCCACCCTAGACCTACTGGATTTGAACTGATAATGTTGAACCATTTTGACCAACAAAAATAATTATTTCACATGGTTCAACCTAATACAGAGCAAAGTATTAACAGACAGCAAAAACAAAACAAACAAGCCCCCCCAAAACCAAAATGAACCTGAAAGACAAGGGTGTTCAAAATGAATATAAAGGATGATTTCAAATACTAAGTCAATTCTTCTATACTAAGAGCACATTATGTGCATAATTTCTTACGAAATACAAACCAGCAGGTACTCCCTCTGCTAAACACAAATGACCAGATTATCATGTTACTGTCTTTCAGGATCTGTGAATTTAAAAGAACTTTCATTCAATCTCCTGTTATAATATTTAAGAAAGAATTTAAATGAGTGTTACTTTCATATCTCTGCTTAAGAAGATGACAGTCAATGTTAAAAAAAAGACGGTAGTGTTTAATAATCTCTTAATTTAATCAGAAAGTCTAGGGAAAACCACATATAGCCCAGTCTACCTTGACAATTTCATTTACCTTTGTACAGAGATGTTTTCCTTCCTCTAATATCTTTTAAACATAAAAGTCTGAGAAATTTTAAAAGTATACTTTTTACAAAGTGATTAAAAACAGCCACTCTGCACAGAGTAAGTTTTGTCAAGCTTTAGTTTAGCAAAATAAATTCTTCAGGGTTGAAATAAGTATGTTTCACCTCAGGGATAAAGCAAATTTTTTCTTCACAGAAACACGCCAATGGCCAGGCCAATCTTTTAAAATTTTATTTCTCTGGAAAAACACAATTCCTGAATTGGCGACTGCACAACAGAGCTGCAGAATCTAGAAGCAACACACACCACTTTATGATGAGGTTTCTGCTCTGCTCTAGCAGAGATCCTCTAAAGTCTCAATCCCCAACATAATGTCTCCCAGATGTCTCAACTAGTTGCCATGCCAACTAAAGCAGCTTAAATTAAATGAGGGCCTGAAAAGGCACCTGCACCACTCCAGGTCTGTTGCACATTAAATAAAGCTCTCTTGACAGGGACTCGGAGGTGCCATTAACTTGAACAGCAGCTATCTGATTATTGTTTCTGAGTAATTTAATGAGGGTCTCCAAATAAGAAAAACAGGGTGCTCTTTCCTCTCTCTGTCCTTCTAATGGGACAGCCTCTCCAACAGCTGGTGCACCCACTGGGCTGCTGACTTTGCTGTGACCTTTAAAGTTAGCATTGGGTAAAGGTAAACCACAGGACCAAAGTTAGGACTTGCAGGAGAATATTAGCAGATTAACCATTCTCCCCTTATTAAAACTCATCATTAAAAATATGGCTGTAAAAAACACACTGTGCATGGTATGCCAACCTCACAGTGATTTGAACAGCCCTGCTATAAAATAAATTGCTGCTGATTGCAGCAATTAGTTAAGTAGCTCCATGAAATATGGATTTCAAAATGTACTGATTTGCTTCAGAGAAACGAATGATGCAAATTAACAATTAGAAATACAAGGCGGGGGACGGTAGCACTGAAGGTGCCCAAGAGGCACAAGTGTTTCTGTGTTGTTTTAAAGAGTTAATTTTGTGTACTTTTTTTTTTGGTAATACTGACATTTCAGAAACTTCTTTATATATAACGGGGTAGAAAACAGAACCTTCACTTCTTTCTCAAATATTACTAGTGAATGGAGAACATCAGTTAACAGAAACACAAACTCAGTCACAGAGAGGTTATGGGATTTACCCAAGGTCATGTTCCAAGTTTGTAAAAAGCCTGACTACCTTATGCTTCCCGACTCCCAGTCCAGTGCAAACTCGACAAGCAGTGCTTCCTGCTTGCCTACTATTCCCATTTCTTAACCAAATGT